GCGGCTCCCTCGGAACTTCGGAGGCGCTTCCCTGCCCGGCTGGCTTTTTGTTCTTAACGGTACTGAAGGTGGAGGAAGACGGGAGGACTCTGACTGCTTAAAGGACCTTTAATTTTAAGGCCTGAACCAGATAAAAGATGAACGCGAATTCTCTCTCTGCAAATCTTTCCCCTCCGAAGTGGCTGGTTTTGCAAGAGGCGGGTTGCTTGGCCGTGCTGCCTGCGGAACCGGCGGGTTTTCAGAAACACAGCTCTGATGACCTCCTGTAATTCGACGGAGAGAAAAAAACATTCTCCAAAGGACACTAGGTTTTTGTTTTGTTTTTGGTTCCTACCCAATGGCTTCCAAAAATACCCAGGCCTTATCTTTATTGGCTCTTCCAGAAGTCCAGACAAATTTGACGGGCAGCTGGCTTATCCAGGGGGGCCTGCGCAGGGCAGATGCGGGCTTGCCTCCTCCGGGTCTCACGCGGGCCTTTCGCAAGAGGTTGTGCGTGATCATAAAGTAATAGCAACAATACTAATAAGGGGACCATTGCAGCCCCCTTCCGCTGGGAACGGAGGTGCTGGTAGCTGGAAAGTGGGGCCCCAGCTGCCCCCTTGTCACTTGTACTGCACTCCCAACCTTCTCTCTCTCTCTCCCTCTCTTTCTCTTTCTCTGTCTCTGCTTCCTGTCCACAGCGCTGGACCCTGCGCGGTCACAGGGCCCCGGGCACACCATGGCCGACGCAGACGAGGGCTTTGGCCTGGCGCACACACCCCTGGAACCTGACTCAAAGGATCTCCCCTGTGACTCAAAGCCAGAGAGCACGCTAGGGGCCCCCAGCAAGTCCCCATCGTCCCCACAGGCCGCCTTCACCCAGCAGGTAAGGAGACCCAGCTTAGGGGCCTTCCTCGGGAACCAAAGCCCCTTTTGGGGGGGCGGGGTGCAGGGGTGGGTCACCCCCTGCCCCTAATTGTGCTCTTTCCTTTCTATCCCCACTCAGTCACACCTTCCTCCGCCCGGCCTCCCGATACTAGTCTATTCCAATCCACGCTATTCTGACGATTATCTTTGTGGCAGGAGGGTTTATAAATACACTGAGTTGCTAGAGAAGCCTTGATTATCCAGCTATTGGGGGCCAACTAACAAGAACGCAGATCCTCTGCCTGGTGCACTAGGTGCAGGCTGGGCCCCGAGCGCCTCATTAAGGGCCAGGTCAGCGGCCGCTTCAGGCCAGCATGAGCGATGGCTTGACCCCTCCTCAGATCTTCCGTAGCCTTCGCCTCCGCCCGCCTCCTCGCGCGGCTGCCCAGAGCCGAGGGGCGCACCATTTGTCTTGCGCCGGGGCCTGGCCGGCTGGCTGCGTGGGGCTGTGCTGGGAGGGCAGGAGGGCGCAGGGAGCCACGGACTCGCGGGGCTGGAAGCCGGCCGGGGCCCAGGTAGACCTCCATGATTTTAAACAAGCTGTCAGGGGGCGCGAAGCCGGGTGGCTTCACCAGAAAAGGTATTGGACGGAGCTAAAGCCCTTCTTGGGGATGTTGATGTCCTTCCTGACTAGCTCATCGCCTCTGTGCTTTGCCCTTCACGGGTCTCAGGGAAAATATGTCTGTTTGTAGAGAAGCAGCGAGAATGGGCACGCAGTTTTGGAAACCTAGATCCCCCCTTTTTACAGAAAAGCAAATTCACTTACTTATGGATTATTGCAAAACGAAGACTTTGTATATAATTTTTTTGCGTCGCCTTTGTGAAGTAACTCTTAGTTGAAAGCGGAAATGTTAAGTGGCTTAAGCTGTGCTCATAATGAAAACAGCTTGCGGAGAGCCTAGAAGGTTTGTTACTATAAACATTGGAGAAGGCATCTTTGTTTTGGACTGAGGGTACCTGTTACAATCTGTAAATGTTTTAAAATTTAGAATCGCACCCGTGTCTGTATCTGTGCTGCGTGGTGAGAATAAACACGCACCTACGGTGTTTGCGTGCTTTAGGCTTGCGCGTGGGCTTCTGAGCCTCCGTGAGGACAGCCTGAGTGGTTTTTTGAGACCGAGTGGTTTCTTTAGCTGCATCCTCAGCCCGTCCCCCATTGGACATTCTGGAGCACCCCAGGGCTGGGTGTCCCCTCTATGCTGGTGTAGGTGACATAAGAAGGACCCCCCCCCATGGAGCACCTATGGGGGTTCCTGGGCTGGGGCTGCCTGGTGCTCCAGCCCAGGGACTGCAGTGAGCTGGGGACAGTTCTCAGCCTCTGAGCTGAAGTAGGAGAAGTGTCCGTGTTTGGGGCCAGTTTGGGGAGCGAAGGCCCACCGTCCCCGGGCTTGTCTATGTGACTTTTCTCTCCTTCCTCCAGGGCATGGAAGGGATCAAGGTGTTTCTCCACGAAAGAGAGCTGTGGCTGAAATTCCACGAAGTGGGCACGGAGATGATCATAACCAAGGCGGGCAGGTGAGCGGTCGCCTCTGCGGAGGGCAGCGGGGAAGCTGGGAGAGTGCGGGAGAGACGAAGGGAAGATGGCTGGGGGAGACGGGGAGAGACAGAGACAGAGAGGCCTGGAGAATTCCCCCAGGGCCTCCATCAGCGGGGGATACCCGGAAGGGCCAGCTGTGGAAACAGGTATTTCTTGCAGCGGGGCATTTCCTCCACCTCTTATGTAAGGAGAACTGAGGCGCGGGAGGCTGTGCTCTGTGGATGCAATAGTAACGAGAGGAGGAGAGGGGAGCGAGGACTGGAAAACAGAGGTGCAGGGAGGACTCAGAGACGAGACCGGGTTTCAGAGTGGCTCCCTCGCCTCCACCCTCCTTCCCACCCGCCCTGACCTTGGAGAGGTTCCAGAGTCCCCCGTGGCCGAGTCTGAATCGCTGGGTGTATTCGCTGCCTCTTTCATTGTTTATAGAACGCAGGCGAAGCCTTTGAAACTGAACCGGGGCTCGGCCGGGCTCTATATACAGACACCGATAAACATGGCAGTTTCGCCCGCCCGCCCGAGACTCGCCCCGCAGTTCCCTTTTAAAGCTCGCGGAGGTTTAGCTGGGAATGCTAGCCTCCGGGGGAGGGGTGGGAGAGTCGTGCAGGGTTGTATCTCCGTGCGTGAGAGCGCCGCGAGGGTGCCCAGGCCTGGGGACGGCTCGGTCACATCGCTCCCCGCCTCGGACTGGCCCTCCGGGTCCCCAAGGGCAGAAGGGTCCGCACTGACCCAGAACCGGCGGCGTGTGAAGCCGGGGAGGCCGGTAGGCCCGAGCCGCTGAGTGTGTGAAGGGGGAGGGTGGAGCCGCCCCGCCAGACGCCCCCAGCTCTCCAGCCCGAAGCCTCCCGCAATAAACTGACAACAGTGACATTTATTATTATTTGAAATTAAACAATGTCTGCTCCCCCGCTCGGCCTGGGTGAACTAGGAGGCGCGTTCTGTTTATACCAAAGAACTAAGGTTTTCTTCCCATTCCGCCTGGGCAGGAAAGCCACGGCGGAGCCCGGAGGATTTCACTATAAAAGGCCTGCGGGCCTCGCGCCCTCCGCCTCTGAGCGCACTCACTCGGCCAGATAAACACCCAGGCTTCCCCTCCAAGGCTCCTCTGCCCGCCAGCCCTGAGCGGCTCAGTCGCCCTCACCCCCAGAGCCTTTAAAATGCTTACTTTTCAGGGCGCACTCTCCCCGAGGCGGCCGGGAATTTGGGAGAGGGCGCAGCGCCCACCGTTCTGGGACACAACCACCCGATCCTCTTTCTGAAACCAAATCTGGGTGGATTTTTAATTTCTTTGCCGAGGGCCCAGGAGTTTAGACTCTCCAAGGAAGAGTGCCCTGGAGGGGTTGTGGGGCGTTTAGGAATGCGTTCCTGCGAGGCTTGTTAGAGGTCCCCAACCGAGCTACTCTTTGGGGGCAGAGGACTGAAGCCGGGACAGGGCCTGTGTGGGCACCCACCTGTGCTCAGTCCCTAGGGCACACGCACCAGGTGCCCACGTGACATGGGGCGCTGCCCAGATGGGCCAAAGCACCTGGCTGGGTGGAGGGGGAGGCCAGCTTTTTACCTAAGAAGCCTGCTCCTGCCCCCCAATTTAAAAAATAGGTGTCTGGCTCTGGAAAGAGCCTTAAGCAGGCGTGGAAATGGGGGTCCCATGCAGGCCGCCTTCAAACCCTGCTCTCCAGGAGCCCTGCCTCCTGCTTTCTATTTTCTGCCTGGACTTAGTGGCCAGCCAGCGGCTTTCTTAGCCTTTCTCCACCCCGTAACTGCAAGGGAAACCCGGGATGGATCTCGGCCAGAGCGGAGTCGGGGCCACTTTTGTCTTTCACGTTTCTAAAGGAATCTTCCTTCGAAATTTGTGGACATACTCTTCTTATTAGCTTTAATTCATATTCTCTCTCTCCCCCCACCCTCTCTCTCCTCCCTCACTTCTTCCTTCCCTCACTCTCTTCCGGGATTCTTCCTCCTTCCCCTCTCAGGCGGATGTTTCCCAGTTACAAAGTGAAGGTGACTGGCCTTAATCCCAAAACGAAGTACATTCTCCTCATGGACATCGTCCCCGCTGACGACCACAGATACAAGTTTGCAGATAATAAATGGTAGGCACCATGGTGGCAGGTGGGGAGGGAGCTCCCCCCACGGACCCAGCCGCCTTGTCTGAGGTCCTACCGTGCACAGAGGCTTTTGCTGCCTTCCCATTGCATTTCCTTGACCTCGTTCCAAAGGGCCAAAGCGCAGCGATTAGCCCCCATTTCAGAGATGAGAAAACTGAGGCCCAGAGGAGGTAACAGGCCTGTGTGCACCGCTGCACCCGCGGGTTGTCGATTTTTCAAAAGGGTATTGTTACCAAGCGCTGGAGGTATTTGGGGGCATAAAACCATTTACAGTTACTTTTTATGAGTTACCCGCTTTGAACATGCCTTTTTATGAAATTGCAAAATCGGCCCATGGTATTTGAGTAAAACAGGCAAGAGCAGAGAGCGAGGCCCATTCCGTGGGTAGATCTCTCCGAAGCTGCCAAGAGTGCAGAGGCCTGAAGAGGAAGCCCCCTCTGAAAGCCCTCAAGGAGTTTTCCAAGACTTTTTCGCAAGCCCAGGCTCCCAGAACCCGCGATTGTTGGTGGGCAGCGAGAGGCTGTGGCTGCTAGGCCCGCGCACCCTGGTGCTGGGGGTGGCAGGATTCGGTGGAGGAAGAAGAGCCAGGGGGGGCAGCTTGTCTGGAGGGCAGCGCAGGGCCAGGGAGACCTGAGGGTCAGGCCATTCTCACGTTCAGCAGCCCGGGCCTGGTGCGGGAACCGCCTGCACCACGTGCGCTGAAGCTGGTTCCTTGGTTTAGGTCGGTGACTGGCAAAGCGGAGCCCGCCATGCCGGGCCGCCTGTACGTGCACCCAGACTCGCCGGCCACCGGGGCGCATTGGATGCGGCAGCTGGTCTCCTTCCAGAAACTCAAGCTCACCAACAACCACCTGGACCCGTTCGGGCATGTAAGTATCGGGTGCAGCCCAGCCCAGCACAAGCAGGTCCATCTCTCTCCTCCCCTCCTCCCCTTTCCTTGGCTTCTAGAACCCACCCATCTCCTTTCCCGGCTTCGTTTATTTCACCCCTTGGTCTCTGCCCCCCTCCCCCCTTTCTGGATCTGGTCTTCCTTTCTCTCCTTCCCGTCTCTCGTTTCTCTCGCCTTCTAATTCAGCTTTCCGTGTTCTCGCGCCCACCGCTCTCCCCCCGCCCACGGTTTGCCCTCTGCAGTCCTCCCTGTGGTCCTCCATCCCACACTTTGGTCCGTTTTTCCCGGGTGGATGGAGGTGGGGCCTGGTTCTCCTGGCCCGGGGCTCACACTGCGTCCCTTCCACCAGCCCCAGCCTTTGCTGAGGAGCGGGGATCTTGCTGTGACTGAAGCTGCACATTCCCGGCCTGGAGGCCTGGACGCCGGGGCTGGGAACCCGGCCTGCGCCCAGTCCCATCTGTGACTAGGGGTGGGGGTGGGGGTTTCAGTCCTGCAGGAAAAAACAAACCATGGTCACACTGGCCCAGTGGGCACCCAGCTCAGAGGCCAGACCAAGGTGGGAGCCACACTCCTCCCCCGACCCCTCCCAAATCCTGCCTTAGTGTTGGGATGTTCTAGCCCAGAGGCAGCCGGACCACCTGCCCCCTCTCTCACAGACGGGCAAACCGACCCCAGGGGCAGACGCTGCTGCCCTTGCTCCTGTTAGGGCGATGCTTTCTGGCAGACCTGTTTTCCCCCAACTTCCAGCTTTCCTCCTCCCCACAATGCCCACAGCGGGCAAACCAGGGCCCGTCCTAAACCTGGAGTCCCATGGGCCCCGAGAGAGCGGGGCCTGGCGAGCCCCTGGAATTGCATGCGGGATATTGAGTGTGCAGACCCCACCCTCCAGGAGATGTGCAGTTTGAGCAGATGCCCCAGAGGGCACCGCCCTGTCTTCCCCAAAGAAAAACAAATGGAGGACAAAACACTGATTTTTAGAAAAACGCCCCTAAAACGCGTTGTTGGAAAGAATTCATCACCAGGACAGAAAACGGCCTGTGAATTCAGTGTTTGCAACCCTCAGATTGGTGATGCCGCCATACACGTGGTGGGCTCCTTGGTCTTGGGGCATTTAATCCTCATAGCAGCCTAAGGAGGGGCCGAGGACAGAAGTCCACGCAGCCTCTGTGACTGGGAGTCCAGGGAGGGGAGGGGACTTGCCAAGGTCCTCCAGCTGGGATTTGGGGACAGGATGTGAGGCTGGGTCTCCAGTCCCCAAAGGGCTCCCTGTCCTGCTAGGTTTCTTTAGACACAGCGGACAGAAACGTGGTCCCCGATTTGGGGACGTGAGGGGACTGGGTGGGAACGGATTTGAGCGGGAGGGAGGGCAGTTGGTGAAGGTACAAATGAGACCTCTCCCGTCGGCGCAGGTGGGAAGGGGACAGCAGGCCCTTCATGGATGCGCTCAGAGCTGCTCTCTGCGTGGCTGGTGGCAGCTTGAACTGCGGGCCACTGGGGCAGGGACCAGGGAGGCCGGGCCCCTCTCCGCGTGGTGGAGCGCTCGGCAGGGTGCAGAGGGGCTTTGTCTCCAGCGTCTGGCGCGCTGCTGCCCGGGAGAGCAGGGCTGACCTGGAGCTTGGTGGGCGGCGTACCTGCGGGTGCTGAGCCGTTCATTGCGGGGCAGCGCTGGGGAGAGGCGGGCTATTTGTGAAGATCCCGCACGCACCTTGCGTTCCTCTGGAGCTGGGGCCCTAGTGTGGGGACCTGCGTGGGATCCTGGTGGCAGGAAGCGGGACTGTCCTGCGGCCCCAGTTGGGCTCCTAGCCTTCCCTCTGCGGCTCTGACGCGCCTTCGGGGTCGCGCTGGGGTGGGGGTGGGGGACCCCTGGGGAAGGCTCAGGGCCCCTCCCCCCAGCTCCGGGCACCGTGGGAGTCTCAGGGCCCTAGGAGCCGAGGGAAGAGAGAGCGCGCTCCGAGCTGCTCCGGACTCCGCGCTGCCGCGCACTCCCACCGCGAACTCCGGCTCTGCGTCCAGAGCCGAGCGCCCTGATGAAATTAGGGGCCATCAGATCGCCCGCGCGCTGATGTCTCCGGCGTCCCCGGCCCGTCAAAGCAATTTGGCTAAGCCGGGCCGAT